CCCCAAAACCCCAAAACCCCAAAACCCCAATTAAGAATGGCTAAACTGAAGGGTATTAAACTAAATAAAATGTTGGGTAACATTTAGAGAGTCTCTAGCAGAAATCCTCAAAGAGCTTCCAATCAGCCGATTCATTTTTTAAAGAGCCTTAAAAATTTAGTGCAATAGTGTTTAAGCAGCCTACTCCACAAACCTGGAGATATTCTTATCGATATTCTTCAATTTTATGGCTTCTCTGAGCCAAGGCTTCAGCTTAAGAAGCAGTTTTTCCATTGGGTTATATGCACGGTGACCTATAAATTACTACAAAGTTACTCTGATAGACTGGATTGATGCCTATTCCGTCCAAATAAGCTTTCTTTCTGGCTCGTTTAAGCTTATCATTCTCTCTAATCCTCTGATGAATTTCCTCGATCGCCATTTGGCCGTAATTCTTCTTCAGAGCAATACGTTTCGCAGAGGTATCAAAGTACCGATAGAATATATCCTTATTTATGTAGAAGACTTTGCACTCAGATTTAGCAACAACTTGGTAAGTTCTCTGGGTCTCATCAATCATCTCATGATGTCCAAACAGGTCGTACTCCTTGATCTCCTTGGCTTTATAGAGAAGTTTCCTATTCTTGTTCTGAACTGTCCAGGTATTTCGAGAAGAAGGGAATCTGTTACTATCGTGGATATTCACGACTCACTGTTCATGACAAGTCCCTGATTTTAAGATATAAGCACAGTTTGCGTTGTCTCCGATACTATAGATCTTGTCTCCACTTTGATATATCTTCGTACCAATTTCTCGAAAGAACATTTCAATCCTCTTTACATCCCAATCTTTGAAAATCTTTGTTTGGTATTTCTGGGCGCTAAATGACCAAATTTAGCCAAAAAGAAGCAAAGCCTGCTTACTTTTGTATATTTTCATTCATTTCCATTTTGAGGATTGAGTGAATCAGTATATCAAAATCCTGTTTCATCAACACTAGGACCTAGATTTAGCGCAAATGTCTACCTCTCAGTCGGAGTCAGCGACGACATCTGCCCCTCTGCGGCCAGGTTTGTACTCTACCTTTGAGCTAAATTAGGGTGATTTCCCATACAAAATTTTGAGTCCTTACCTAGCTTCGTTTTCAGAATCATTTTGTTGTGGCTCTAGAGCCTTTTCTCCAAAAACTTGCCCTCATTTGATAGTAGCTACTTTATTTGAAATTATCCTTTGCTTCATATTCGTTAGATTCAGTCGGGATCTATAGCTTGTAGAAACCACATCTAAATACTCTGATAAGGACATCTGCAGTGCCTTTGTACATGATAAACATCCTGTCCCCAATTTCACCTGTTTTTATAATAGTCTCCCCTGAATTATAAAACCTGCCTTTAAGTTTAGCAGCAAGGCTTGGCATAACAATCCTTTCCAACTTCTGCGAAAAATACCCAATTCAATTAATCAAATAAGAAGCAACATAAATATTCTCATCTCTATTCCTTCAATCCTTCCTTCACAATTCATAAATACTACCTATACAAAATTAAGCTTAACTACAGCCCTGACTGTATTCCTACTAGAAATATTCTCCAGATTACTAGAGAAGAGTGGTGACTGAGGCATGGATTTTATAGCTGGGTTGTGCTGGATGGAGGGTCGGGAGGACGGGTGGTCTATGATAGAGTGATTAAATGAGGGAGAAAGGGTGGTGAGAGGGGTTTAGAGGGGAGTTTGGGCAGAGTAAGGGGGAGGAGTGGTCCGTGGTGTTGATGGGAGGGGTCTTTGGGGGTTTTGGAGAGTTTAGAAGGGAATAAAATGGGTCTGTAGGCGAAGAAATTTGTTTAAATGCTTCTATGGGTTTTTTATGGTGTTGAAGGATTTTGACTCCAGAGATCTTCTTTTGGCAACTCTTGATGTTCTCCTTGTACTTCTGTTTGGCTGATAATTTATGTTGAATTTCTGATAGTATCTTCTTTTATGGAAGAAAATTGTTTTATTGTCAAAGAAATTGCCTAGAGAAATTTTGTCCTGAATAGAAGAAAATGTGTTGACTATTTCTTCTTTCTTCCTTCCTTCCTGATATTTTCTTTAGATAAAAAAAGAACAAAGGCTCTTAGTTCTCTGACTTTATTGTTAAAGCTATGGGGGTGGAAGGATTTTCATTGCATCTCAAGATTTTAGTGGCTGGATTTTTTTATATATTCTGGAGAAGAGAATGAAAACATGAAATCTCCAACTTATATCTTAATTTTTTGTGTTATATAAATAAGTGTATCAGACCTATGTTAAAATTGCCCTTGATAGTACATAAAAATACTAAAATTTATTACAAGATAAAACAAAGGGGACAGCGAGGATCGAACCAGAGTAGGTCATTAGAAGCCTTCAAGACATGCAGAATCTCTGTAAAATCCAAAGCAAAACTGCTATAATCCTCGGAAAACTGAAAAGGTAGAATAGCATATACGGGAAGAAACATATGAAAATCCAAAAATGGAGCTATATAGTTCTAAATTTATGACTCTAAGTTTGTCGAACTCACAGACCTTTATTACCTCTTTTGGACCTGGAATAGAAGAAGGGTCATATTTTCCTATTCCATTGCATAGATAGAGTATAATATTGAGTTCAAAGGTACTCTTAGAAATGAGGTTTTATAAAAACTGTTGCAATTATGACCAGAGAGTAACAAAATAATAATTCTAAGCTAAGGATCAATTTTCAGATAATTCATAGCTCTCTCTAAAGTCGTACGAAATGTCTTGACTTTCTTACTATAATCATTCTCAAGTTCCTCATTAATTTTATTAATTTGTGCATGATAAGGACTCTGGATTTGACTAATTGCTCTGTAATCCTCTATCCCAGAGGTCTCTAAGGACCTAAGATGATCTTCTTGACCAAAAGTGTTGTTGTGGAAGGGCTCATTAAGGTCATTTCTACTCTTATCCTTCTGCTTATTAAACTCTTCATCAAGATCTTTTTCATAATTTAGCCAAGAGTATTCCAAATTAGGTGTCCTGCCTGACTTCTTCACTCTGGGATATTTAGTATTTAGCACGAATTGGGACCTCTTCTTAACTCGTAAATTAACAGGCGTGCCTGAGTAGCTTCTCTTATCCATCATCTGGGAGTAGTTCCTGATAGGTACATCCATGTTTATAGACTTACCCACCCTAGGTGAGTTTCTTTCATGAGTATGAATAGTGTTCTTCTTCGAGGTACAAGCATTTGTATTCACCACAGAGTACTCGCTTAGAGTATTCCGAGATTCTCTCTTGCCATGATGATCGGTTACTATAAATAATACACTTCAAGTACCTTTCGTGCTCATCTGGCGGAAGCATTTCTTGAACACCTTCTCCATGTTGACTAACTTAAGCTTTCTTTTATGAGTATTTTTCTTTCCTTTAAACTTCTGGGCTTTAGTTAAAATTCTGTGCAGAGCTTTACTGGATTTCTTCAGCATTTTCCCATTATTTCAGATGGAAACTCTTGTATGCCTTACCTCTGATAGTAGTCTTAGGAGAGTTGTGGTAATTATCCCTAAAATGTTAACAATTTGGCTAAAATATACTCATATTTAAAAGAAATAAGTTTTATTTATTCAGTGCTACCCAGAAAATTTGTCAAGTTAGTAAGAATCATGACCTATACCTTGTGGTATACCGCCTTGCTTGATTTATGGAGACCGATCCTCTAGAAGAGAGGCATGCTCTTTTCTTCCTCTTGGGCTGATATGGGTGTCTAGTGAAATCTATTTTACTCAAGCTGGTTTTCATGATGGTTTTAGAAAATATTTAACAATAAATTGTTAAACTCTAGGGGTTTTGGGGTTTTGGGGTTTTGGGGTTTTGGGG